CCCGCGGCCCCCCGCCCGGCCCCGCGCGGTGGTCACTCGTGTGCGTCTCGTGCCTTTGCAGTTGCTGCCGAAGAGGTTGGACTGGGAGGGCAACGAGCACAACAGGAGCTACGAGGAATTGGTGAGATTTTTGACATTTCCATCCCCGTGTTTCCGAGCACCCGCTCCCCGCCCCCTTGTCGGGGCTCCTGCTCGTGGGGCGAAGTGGCCGAGCGGTGCTCGGGGGCGACCCCGGGAGAGCGGGACTCCCTCGGCAGGTTTTGTTTTGGGGCGGCCAGGTTTGTTTTGGGAGGAAACGGCTCTGGGGGGGTGGCTGGCGGGAGGTGGGGGCGACCCTGCGCCGCGGTTTGCGGTGGGGTGGGTCCCCAGGTGCGGCTGCCTATGGTGAGAGCCGGGGGCGCGCGTGCGCGCGGGCGGGGTGGTGGTGGGGGGGATTAGGTGCCAGCCACTCAGCGAGCTGCTCTCATCCTTCTGTTTTCGTACGCGACTTGTAACTCGACCTCTGATTGGTGTTCCCTCTTTTGCCCCGCCCAGCTCCTCTAACCACTTGTTCCCTAGGAATAGAATCGTTGGTTTCTGAAAGGTGGAGAAACGTTCTCTTGAGCGTGTTTTTCTTTCCCCTCGGCAGCGTCATAAAAATCTTGCTGTTCTGACAGTATGCCATTCCTCCAGTACTTTTGCTTCTCCAAACTGTACAGTACTTGTTGAGTGCCTTAGAAAACTTATTTTGATGAATTTTTGTATTGGCCTTGCTGTACGTAACTTAACGTAGCCCTAACTGTGCGGCTTCTCCGTTTAGAGCACCATTAGCGTCGATTATGCTTCTCTTTTCATTGCACCTTGTCAACTTTTTGAGTTGCTCTCACGATATAGAATTAGGTCTTGCCCACTGGTTTGTCCTATGAAATAAAACAATCTTTAGGAAAATATTTTTGCCAACTTGTGTATTAGGAGAAAGGATTTCGTTAGTTAATCAGGCTGTATCGGCATCTTGTATGAGCAAAACAACTGAGGACAAATCAAAATCTCCTGAATGATCTATTACCACAGTTCTAATACTTGTAATAGAATTCGGTAGTAGGATACGATCACTTCTTGGATTAAACAAAAGGACAAAAAGTAAACGGGGATTTGTCATCTGTATATGAACAGTTAAGTATTATTGACAAAGTCTGGAGAAAGGATTTTATTTCAGTCATCAATTGTAATATTTACTGATGTAGAGTTTTTTGAAGCAAACACTTAAAAGTGAACAGTATTTCCAAGAAAGTTCTAAAAATTCTGCATCATGACAGAATTGAATATGTTATTTTGATATTTAAGTCTAGGAAACGTTTAAAGGACTACTTGTTTTACACCTGGTGAGAGAAAAAAGTGTTATCAGGGAAGCAGAAGTGCATTATTGACAGTGCAGTTGTGCTGTGGAAGAGATAATTGTGTAAATTTTGAGATGCTATAACTACTGGAAAACTTTAAATATTACATTTTTGGCTTTTCTGTTAGAATTGCTTGAAATCCTACTTAAAATTCTGCTTAGAATTACCCCAAATCTCTGTGTTACATTCCTGTGGTGTGGCTGTGAGCCAGGTCATCTCTCATCACCTAGCTCACTGGGTCTGGTGGAAATCCTCTTTGTCCTTTGCCTTCCCCTGCCTCTACCCTCTCCTAGCTGTAAGTGACAGAGGATGAGCTTTCTTTCCTTTTTTTTTTTTTT